CGGCGGGCGCTGTGTCGGTGCGGGGAGCGGGGCCGGTGACAGCCCCGTCCCTCCGCTGTGCTGTGTCAGGCCCGCGGTGCTCCAGCTTTGCCTCTGCAGTGTCTTCGACGTTGGATTTGGCGGGGGGATGGCGAGCGGGATCTCCTGTTTCACTGCTGGGTTTATTGCTTTTTATTTTTTTTTTCTTTTGCTGGAGAAAAGGAGGCTCGGGGGGACCTTCTCTCTCTCTGTGGCACCCTAACAGGAGGGTGGTCGGGCTCTGCTCCCAGGGAACAAGGGACAGGATGAGAGGAAGCGGCCTCAAGCTCTGCCAGGGGAGGTTTAGGTTGAACATCAGGAGGAATTTCTTCACAGAAAGGATAATTAGACATTGGGAGGGGCTGCCCAGGGACGTGGTGGAGTCATCATTCCTGGAGGTGTTTAAGGAGAGACTGGACGTTCTGATCTGGTTGACAAGGTGGTGTTGGGTCATAGGTTGGACTGGATGATCTTGGAGGTCATTTCCAACCAACCTGATTCTGTGATTCAGGATTGTTCTCTCTGCCAGTTTAGGTCCTGAGCTGTTCCTGATGTCTGCAAAGGTAGCTTGGCATGTCCACACTGCTGTCCCTCCTGCTTGTCCCCTGGAACATTCACCCCCTTTCATTCAGCTGGTAAAGGCAGCAGTGTGGCACTGATTCCTCTCTGCTGTATCAACATGACTGTGACTGTTTTTATGTATTTGACAGTATCTACCATTTACCTTGGGGTGTGTTTCAGTGTCTGTCAGGGTTGGGGATGTACAACCATTCAATTTGCCTGTGAAATTGCAGGCACTGGCCCCTGTCTGGATATTCTTGCTCAACAGCTGAGCAGAGTTGTTCAAGTTTTCACAACTGTGCTTTGGGTGATTCTTCTTTTCTGATGCAAGAGCTTTTCCACTTGGTGTAATTCCCTGGCTTCTGATTCCTGTATTGCCTGCTGCAGGGCACGATCATATTTCTCACTTCCTCATGGTTGGTAACAAGATTGGGTTTCTTCATTTGGTTTGTTTATTTTTTTTTCCTTATTTTGCCCCTCCTCTTCCCTGAAATTTCGGTTCATCTTCTCTTGTGGATCATCAAAACCAGATTTTTCTCTGCCTTTTAACTTCAGAATCGTCTGTAATTCCCAGCTTCACTCAGCCCTACTCCATGTAATCTCCTAAACCTTGGATAAAATGGTGTGGTCTCACTAGCACAGTTTTCAAGGCATTTCTATTCATGGAGGGGAAAGCCCTTTTAAAAAATTCTGATTGCTATTTTCCAGCCTCTTCGAAAGAAGTAAAACAAGAACCTCAAACTGGGGATCTGTAATTCTTCATGCAGAAAGGTACCTCTCTGATACAGGGCAGATGAGAGTTTAGTTTCTTTACATCCATTGTTTCAGGAATGCCTGGGAAATCTGCAGAAGCTTGTGACAGGATTAGCTGCTCTGCCATGGAGGTGTGCCAGGCTGTCACAGACCAATTACATTTTAGCACTTAAGCAGGTTGCAATTTTGTGTGGTCAGAATTTTTTCTTGCACAGAGAATTATTTGTCTTTTTTGTTTGCAGAATCTTTGAATAACCATCTTGAAAAGTATTAACACAAATGTCTAATATTTAACAGCTGGAAACATGCCCAGAGCTGTGCAGCTGCTGTTCATCTCCTGCTGGAATGGAGACTATTGACTCTTCCTAAACTCCTGGATTTTGGTAGTTGATTTTAGTAGGTGGAGAAAGTAGTCTTTTGGCTTTGGTTAGAAGTGAGGAGCAGCAAAGTAATACCTGAGGAGTTTGCTGAAAGAAATGCCTCTCTGTTCAAGGGGACACATCCACGGTGCTGATCTTTTCCAAAATAAATCCATGACTTAGCACTTCTGTCTCTGCAAGGAGCCTGAAATAACAGCACCCTTGTGTAAACCATCCTTGCGTTCTCTTGTTGGCATTTAACACCTATATTTTGGTTAGGTTTTATGATATGCTTTGGTTGGGTGCTGCAGCAGTGTCAAGGCTGCTCAGCTCTTCAGTTTGCTGTGGAGTGTGATACAAAGGAGGCTGCATTTCATACTCAGAGTACTTATTGTAATCTGTGATCCTTTAGGGCTTAAACCATTTGGCAGCTTATAAATGTGATGTTCTGCAAGACTAGAAACTTGAGCTTTGAGAGCTGTTGGTGGCTCTCTGCTGTTCCCTGCTGTGAGGAGAGCTTGTTTGGACAGCTTTAAAAGTCCCAACTCACTTTTTCTTCTCTGGGATGTATCTTTGTGTTGTCTGAGGTGCAGGCACAGAGAAGAAATCCAAGTGTATTTGTCTCATGAAACCCTCAGATTATCATGGGTGGTAACAGTAAAGGTTGTATGTTCAGGGAAAATTGCTGAGTTTACTAAGAAAATAGAGAGTGCTCTAATAATCATTAATATCTGACATATGATTACTTTCCATCTCTTTTTTGATCACAGAATCCCAGAATGGTTTGGGTTGGAAGGGACCTCAAAGCTCATCTTCTTCCAACCCCCCTGCCATGGTCAGGGACACCTTCCACCATCTCAGGTGGCTCCAAGCCCCATCCAACCTGGCCTTGGACACTTCCAGGGATGGGGCAGCCACAGATTCTCTGGGCAACCTGTGCCAGGGCCTCACCACCCTCACAATAAAGAATTTCTTCCCAGTATCTCATCTGAATGAACCCTCCTTCAGCTTAAGTCCATTCCCCCTTGTCCTGTCCCTCCAAGCCTTTGTCCAAAGTCCCTCTCCAGCTCTCTTGGAGCTCCTATAGGCACTGGAAAGGGCTCTAAGATCTCCCCAAAGCCTTCTCCTCTCTGGGCTGAACAGAATGATGGTCTTAAAAAAATATTAATACTGAGTGCTTTATATAGTTGGCAGCATTTTAAAATCCAGAATGCAACATTTTAAAATCCAGAATGCAGTTTATGTAAAAAGTTACAAATTTTGCTTCTTAAAGCCGATCTCAGTTAAAACTAATCAATCTTTTATCACATTTGTTAATATTATCAGCTAAAGGTGATTTGTGTCTGGTGCTTCTTCCCAGTATTATATTATTTACTTTCTGATTTTGTGACAGGGTTGGTCTTACAGTAGTCTTTGGCAGAAAAAAGGCATTTCAGTAGAAAAAGAAGTTTGATGAACTTAACTTTCTTATTGCAGTTTATATTAGTAAACCAAAATTAAGGCACAGTGAAAAAAGAGCTCTTACAGGAAAAATGGTGTAACTATCTCATAGACTCGGCGAGTCACACAGCTTAGTTTTCTTTCTGTTTCTGTGAGTGTACATTAAAATAGAAAGAAAATACTAGCTTGAACTTAATCCCCCGTTAATTTATACTTCACATAAGCTTTCTTGCTTGAGTTGCAGAAGAGTTGGGAAACCCATAATCCTGGCAGTAAAACCCCTTCGGTCACCCCGCGTGTTTCGTCCGGAGCGTCGTTAGTGCTAATTATTAACTGTCTTTATTTTTCCCCCTCAGATCTATATCAGAATACCTGAGGTCCATCATGTTTTCCAAGCTGAGCCGCCCCCAGAGTGTTGCTGTTCTCTCTCGAGGTCTCCACGCATCCCTGAGTTCTGCTGCCTCAGTTGCTCCCAAAAAAACCATTCAAAGGCCCGTCTCCTCTGAGTCGATCTATGAACGGGAGGCTAAATATGGTGCCCACAACTATCACCCGCTGCCTGTTGCTCTGGAAAGAGGGAAAGGTATTTTATTTAGGTTTCCCTGAGTGTTGTGGAGGAGATGTGTCTGTGCAGGTGGGATGGGATCAGTTTCTGAACCATTGTTGGGTGTTTTTTTAGGGTGGAATTGAGATAATCGGTGAAATCAAGACAGCTAATTGTTGGTTAGAGAGCTGGATCATTATGCATAAAGCCATCTGATTAAATGGTGATGTCTCTAAAATATTTTATCTAAATAAAGGTCAAAGTTCTGATAATCTCCAGAATAACTCAGCAGGAAAATTGTCAAGCAACTTTGTTTCTTCTTTTGCCTTGTTTGGGGAGGTTTAATGTTAATATGAACATGAAAAGGTGCATTGGAACCCTATTTAAGTCCTTGTGTACTGTTCCTGTGTTATTGCTTAATTTAAATTTACTCTGGTCTTTAATTATATTTAAGGGGCTTTTTTTGTCCTGTGAGTTTATGTTAAAATGCTATCAGCATAGTGATCCAATAGTTTCTCTTTTTCAGGGCACATTTTGACAGCTCAGAGCCTTCAGCCTCTTGAGTTTTGAGATTATTTGGGTTCTGTTGATTTTTTTCTTTATTTTATGACCTCCAGTTAATTCTCTTACAGAAGTTTTCTTCTCTATCTACCTTTTAGTGCCTAAAACAGAGACTTGGGGGGGAGGTAATAGTCTGATATTACTAACTCCATGGAACGGCAGCTTTATATTGGAAATGCTTCTTTTTTTTTGTTTCCTTATTTATACCGTACTAGTTTTGTTGCTCATGATCTCTTTGTCAACTGATTATTTTCTAGAGGCCCTTTCAGGAATGCCCTCAGGGATAGAGAGAATACCATTTAAATTGGCCAGGTTGTGTTGTAACCCTTAGTTTATACCATTTAGTATTATCTCACGTCGTCTTTTATTTTGTGTGTTGACCATATGTTTGTTTTCCCAGGTGTTTACGTGTGGGATGTTGAAGGTAGAAAGTATTTTGACTTTCTGAGTGCTTACAGTGCAGTTAATCAAGGTCACTGTCACCCAAAAATCGTGGATGCTCTGAAAGCTCAGTCTGAAAAACTAACCCTGACATCCAGGGCGTTCTACAACGATGTACTTGGTGAATATGAGGAGCTCGTCACCAAAATGTTCAATTACAACAAAGTTCTTCCAATGAACACAGGTGAAGAAATGATTTCATTTCCATTTTATTTCTTGTCTGTGAGATTCAGCAGCTGTGATACATTTGGTACTGCACTGATGGCCTCTCTCATATACAGGAGTGATCATGGTGCTGCTTTGTGTTTCAGGAGTGGAAGCTGGAGAAACTGCCTGTAAACTGGCTCGGAAATGGGCATATACTGTGAAAGGAGTCCCAAAATACAAAGCTAAAATTATTTTTGCAGGTATGTTAAGTGTTAAAAGCTGATCAACCTCCTTAAAACTCTGTGTTATGAGTTGAGGCATTGAGGAGGAAGACAGCTCTGGACACTGGATTGATGAGAGGCAGCCTGAAGTCACGTGGAAAGTACACTCAGTCCCCCATGCTCTTTTAACCACTTGAAGCTTAGTATCTTTTTATTCTTAACTGCTTGTCTTTTATATAACTTTTTTGTGAAATCACTCCTCAAATTGCTGCCATGCCTCTCATAGGTTGCACAGTAGGGTTAAACCTGCTTCCCTCTTAGGCTTCACCCTACCAGTGGTTTTCTTTGCATCCTTGAAGTCTTCCAGAGATTGACATTAACCTAGTAAAGCCATATTGGAGTCTTGATCATATAATGAAAGTAAAAGCAGTATTGCTGAAGTAAATATTGGGCCCTGAATCTCTGTTGAAATAGTTCCTCCCTTTACCTGCCTGCTCTGCTTGGCTCCATAACAGGGAGAAGTTACCTGCCCCTGAAGAGACTGTCGTGCTTAGCTAAATAAAAAAATGGAAAACCCCCATATATAATAAGAAAATCTGATATATATATATATAGTGTTCTTTGGTTATAGATAAAATATTCTTGTCAGTGCTAATGTTGTTCAATGATTCTGTATTTTATTAAACCTTTCAGAACAAAGCTTACTACTTAAATATTGACCTTTTTCCCTGAAGTTGCTACAGCTGCAAATACTAGTTTTAACTTCTGGTACATATAGTACTTGAACCATAAGTGCCATTAGGCAGCATTTGTAAATTACAATTCATAGTTGAATATTGCATTATGTTTTCTGGGACTGAATAGAGATTTTTTTAAAATTTCTTCTGGGAGTTCTTTGAACAAATGCACTTCTCTGTCCTTTTCTTCTATATATATTTTATTTTGCTCTTCATATGTAAGTGGGTTTTTCTGGGTCTTTGAAATGCACAGAGTGTATTTTCTGATTTAGGCTTAGTGGCAGCTTTATTTTTAGGACTTAAATTAGGAGTGGTGGTCATTTTCCCTGCTATATTTAATAAGTAATATTTACATAAAAGCTGAACATCTTCCTTAAAAAGATGTTATCTGACTTATTTTCAATTTTTCAGACTACTAACAAAATTTAAGGAAATTATTTTGAATAAACTTACCAGGTCTTAGAGTATAATTTTATTTTGTTTTTTTATATATTCTTTTGATATAGCAACACGGTATATTTATGACATCAATACAAAATGCTAACAATTAGAAGAAGGATGATAATATGCTCATGTTAGATAACTTAAAATGCAGTAACAAATGGAAAGTATGATGTCCTTTAAACTGTTCTGGCTCTTGGTCAGTTTTGTAACAATCCCCCTCTCTTTTTTTTCAGCTGGCAACTTCTGGGGCAGAACAATGTCTGCAATCTCCAGCTCTACTGACCCATCCAGCTATGATGGATTTGGGCCCTTCATGCCAGGTTTTGAAGTGATCCCGTACAATGACCTCCCAGCTCTTGAGGTATTTGACAATTTTATCATTTTACAATGTCTCTTTGGTAAATTACAAAGCAAATCAGAAGCTTATCCCTTTGACACTAAGATAGATACATGTATCTAGATTTATTTAAGAAATATATATGTTATTGATGTGCATAGGAAATGTGTGTAAATTCTGCTTTGGTTTTGATTTTCTGTTTTGCTTTAGGGTGTTACAGAAAAACCACATGGTCTGTTTCCTCTCACATCTCACTAAGATGTTCAAGGTACAAATGAAGAAAAACAGATAAACCATAATGGAATTCAGATCAGTAGCTTACGTTCCAAAAGTCAGGACTTGATTTCTGAAACTAATACCTTTAGCTACTTTTCTCAGAAATGCTGTGCATTCTTCAATGAGTAGATAACTGAAAGAGAATGGGTTTAGATTGGATATTTTGAAGGAATTCTTGGCTGTGAGGGTGGTGAGGCCCTGGCACAGGTTGCCCAAAGAAGCTGTGGCTGCCCCATCCCTGGAAGTGTCCAAGGTCAGGTTGGATGGGGCTTGGAGCAACCTGGGCTAGTGGAAGGTGTCCCTGCCCATGGCTGGGAAGTTGGAACTAGATGGGCTTTAAAGGCCCTTCCCATCCAAACCACTCTGTGCTTGTATGACTGGAATTCACACAGTTGCAAAGAAGTATTTCCATTTCAAAGCATCCTTAAAACCGTGCTAGGCTGGTGTTTCACTTAAGCTACTGAAATGCCAGGGATTCTGCATTTCCCTGGGTTTCCTGAGTTTTATCCTGTCAAACTGTTGGAGAGGGTTGACCTTGATTTGTCTAAAATTTTCCACCTTCATAATGTGGGTTTATATATTAAAGGGTATATTGGGCTTGGTGGCAGCCACGGGGTGCTGGAACTGGGACCTGGGAGGCAAGAGGGTTCCAGCCAAATACAGATAGTCCTGGAGGGCTTGGAATGTTGGCATTGCCACTTTTGTCATAGAATCACAGAATGTTTTGGATTGGAAGGGGTCTTAAAGATGGTCTTTTTCCAATCCATTACCTGGGAACATCATCTCCGTGAGCAAAAAAGTTTTGTTGGTTCTGCTTCATACAAGGGGATGGGCTGTGGAGATTGGAGGGATTGTAGGACAGAGTTGATTGTCTCCTTAGAGTTTGGTTAGGATGAAAACAAAGGTCTCTCAGTGTTTTAGTTGCAGTGTGGAAAAGCTTGCTCAGGTTTGAACCTACATCAGGGTGCCCATTGTGAAAGGCCTGTAAGTATTTAATGGCTTCATTAGAGCTGAATCCATTCTGTTTATGGGGCCATACTGAGAAAAGCTGTAGTAAATTCATGCTGGGAATCATCACATCTCTTGTGTCTCGTGGACTTCTAAACCTTTTTGAACTTGATAGTGCAAGAATGTACCTGTGGACTTTGCTCTAAGGTAAAATTGTTCTGGAGAGGCTCCATTCTTTTTTGTTTGAGGGGAGAGTTGAGCAATTGTTTGTCTTGTATGGGGTCATGCAAAACTGAGGGTATTTCTGAGGTAATTTATGGACTGATCTGATAATCTGCTTATCTGAGTCTGCAATTTTTAAGGTTTGTACCTTCCCAAGTGAGCACAGCAGCTCATTTTACAAGGCAAATAGTGACATTGTGTTGGAACTGAAATGGCACTCAGGGATAACTGCTTGACATAAATGCCATTATCGTGCCTTAAGGAAAAACACTGGGGCTAGGATTAGGTTCTGCTACATGTATTTTCCAAATTTGACCTGAGTAAAGGCTTTTTCTTTTTGTCTTTCCCACTTATATGTCCATTTTTACAGCGGGCCCTTCAAGATCCCAACGTGGCAGCTTTCATGGTTGAACCAATTCAAGGGGAAGCAGGTGTGGTTGTTCCTGACAAGGGTTATCTCACAGGAGTGAGGGACCTCTGCACAAAACACAATGTAAGGAATTCACTGTAATAACGTGGTTTAAACATTACTGTGTTTACTGCTGTATCTTGTAAGGTCATCCTTATATACTAGGTGTAGGACTTCATATATGATTTAATAATCTCCTTTTATTTCAGTGCAATAGGGCAGGGATACTTCTTGTATTTCCTGCTAATACCTTACCAGAAAGTACTTCTTAGCAATGCACATTTTTCACTATTTCTTACCACTGTCACTGGTTTAAGTCACTGATGAATGTTCTTGAACTGCATTTATTTTAAATTAATTGAGCTTTTAATTTATTTCTCACATTCTAAGTTTCTTGGGACCAAAGCAAATTACTGCAGTAATTAATAATTACCATGGCTGTTCGGGGCCCTTGTTGGTGGAGTGCATAAGTGCCAAGAATTTGTAACAGCAGTGGGTCACAGAGTGAAACACTGAAGAAAATGCTTATCAGTGATCTCTGGTTTAAAAATCAGTGGTCTCTATTGCAACAGAATTCAGTCTAATTTGCAAGTACTAGTCATAATTCCTTCTATACCTTCAGAGGAAGGTATTGACATATTATTAATAAAGTTGTCTTTATTATTGTTGTGATACCTCAAAAAAAGGAGAGCTGTATTGTTTGAATTGAGTTAGGGATGGGAGTGAAACACATTGTCTGATCTCTGCTCTTTTTGTCTCTCTGAAGGTTCTGTTTATTGCTGATGAAATACAGACTGGTTTAGCCAGAACAGGGAAAATGCTGGCTGTTGACCACGAAAATGTGAGACCTGATATAATTCTTCTTGGAAAGGCCCTTTCTGGTGGCTTGTATCCTGTGAGTAACAAAGAAATACCAGTAATCTGAAATAATATCAAATTATTCAAACATTTGTTGAATAATGATTTTTTTAGTCATTAACACTGAAAATCTACCAGTTGGAAGAACAATAGCTCTGATATTTGTTGTGCTTGGAATTTGTTGTTTACAAGATTAGCTATGATTTATGACCAGACAGCCCAACCTGTGAGAGATACATAATAAAACAGTGGAATACCTAATAGTACCTTTTTAGCTGAAATGGCTGTTTTTCTGTCAGGAAAATAAGTGTCCAGTAGTCAGCTTTTCATTATGGAATTTCTGGTTAGTCTTTTTTACTCTCTCTGGAGAGTGAGTTTATCACAGCCTTGCTGTGATTAGTTTCTAGATGAATTCTGTAGAGGATAAAATACTAATATATGTTAAAACACACATTATGGAGCTGTTTTGGAACAACTGGCATGATTTCATGTGTTTGGCATGTCTGCATGACTGATTTTATCTTCTTGGAGTGACTTAAATTCCTGCTGATTAGGCTGGAAACTACAACATGCCTTGAACTATTTTGGCTGATTGAAGGTATTTCTGAGTTGTTAAACCAAGTGTTGAAGCTTAAGGTCTTGAAATAATATTCAGTTTGGAGAAATGCCTCTCTGCTGTAGTTGGGAGTTACATGTTACCACTATATCTAAGTGTATTTAAGGGATTAATTAGGGGATTGCCAGATCTTCTCTTCTGTATACAGAACTGGGGATGTAAATGTAATTTATTACCATAGGCTAAAAATTTCCCGAGCCCTGAGGAAAAGTTTGATTCAGAGATATTAAAGTTTACTGTTTTAAATATGTCTGTAAGTGAATTTGCTGACCTCCCCACTTTAGGTCTCAGCTGTACTGTGTGATGATGAAATCATGCTGACCATTAAGCCTGGTGAACATGGATCTACATATGGAGGAAATCCATTGGCTTGCCGTGTGGCAATGGCAGCACTGGAGGTTTGTGTGTCCTGATAAAGCTTTGGAATCCAAAGGAAAAAAGTGTCACACTGACATGATCTTTGGTTAAATAAATGATATTATTTCTTATGCTGGGAGTATCAATCCAGCTTTAAGTACAAATGGAAAATTGGCAGTGGTTATCTGCACAGATCACAAAACAAATTCTAAAGTTTTTGTTGGAAGTGTGTCCTAATTCCTGTGTTCTTATGGTCTTAATGTCTTAAATGTCAAAATAAAATTTATATAAAGGGAGTTTCAGGGCACTTATGTAAATTTGGTCAAATAGCTTCACTAAGTTCATGAAGACACTTTGAAATTGGATTATATTGGATATACCAGCAGAGGCTGCTCTGTGAGCCTGATAAAATGTGTGTGCTACTGGAACTCAAACAGAAGCTAAAATGTCTTGTCTAGAGTGTGTAGTTTAATTATTCTGTGACTGCCTAATTGACTACATGGGATGCAGGTCACTCAGAAAGCTTCGTCAGAACTGGAGAGATTAAGAATCTTTAGAGCTTTACTGTTGACTTGCAAATAACTGCAAATGGCAGTTTTGAACAAAATTTCAAAAATATTATTGTTTCTTGTAAAAATGAATGAGTAAAGGCTTGATACCAGTCTACTGGGATATGCAACCTTTGACAGTGACACTCTGGCTGCAACAGCTTTTGTATCTCAGTAGCTGTAATGTCATTTACCCTTCCAGCGTGGTACATAAAACAAATGTGGTGCCCTTCAGCTGACTAGATCTGACTTCCCTTTAGGTAATTGAAGATGAAAACTTGGCAAAAAATGCAGAAATAATGGGTAACCTACTAAGAAATGAGCTCATGAAGACGCCGTCCAACATTGTAACTGCTGTGAGAGGAAGGGGGCTGTTAAATGCAATTGTAATCCGGGAAACCAAAGGTGAGGAAATACAGTCAACTGCACCATCACAGCATGAAAAAGTACTTTTCAGCTTAAATTGTAGGTGGGAGATGGTATATAGGCATCATGTTTGTGTTCAGATCTTGGCTAGAGTACTGTAGTACCTACCGAAAATTTATTCAAGTGTGTGCTGTTAAAAGTAAGTGGTTTTAATTAAGGCTGAACAATTTTTTAAAAATCATTTGAATTCTTTTGTGATTTGATAATGTTCAAACCTGATGGTGAATCTGCCTCTCAACAAATAACCCTTTTGTCTCCTCATTGGAAGAAAACTGGCCACATTTGGAACACTAGTTTTTGCCAGATTATGGAAGGATTGGCCGAGGTTGGTTTTTTTCAGGATGGTTAGAATAGTACAATGAATACAGGAGGGTACAAGGAAGAAAAAAGTTAATGACTGAGAGTGTGTTTCTAGGGATTAACACCTCAAATTATATCAGAAAACTGGATATCAAGGCTCTTTATCAAGGGATAAAGTGCTGTAGGGAGGTGGTGTAATTTTCTAAGACGTGCACATGACGCACTGAAATCCAGGTTGCACAAATGTGACTTTGTCCCAAGTCCTGTCCAGATGTTCCTTTACCTCCCCTTTTCATGGCTCCCCTTTTTTAAATGTATTGCTGCATCTAGACAAGCACTGAGCTGTGAAGGGGCCAGAACTATCTGTGTGCTGGAGGCAGACCTGTGAGACAAATCCCCAAACTTTGCAGCAGTTCCGCTCAGTGCAGATTCCGGGGAGCTGCTCGGAGTGACTCCATTTGTGAACACACTCCATCTCACTGCTGGATGGCAAACACAGAGTCTGGCCCCACACACCACGTGCTGCAGTTGTGACACCACTTCTGCTGTGGTGTAAATGCCCTCAGTGTCCTGTTCTCTCTCCTGTGGTTGCAGACTACGATGCCTGGAAGGTGTGTTTGCGGCTCCGCGATAACGGACTCCTGGCCAAGCCCACTCATGGGGACATCATCCGTCTGGCACCACCACTGGTGATTAAGGAGGATGAAATCAGAGAGTGCATCGAAATAATTCACAAGACCATCCTGTCTTTCTGAAAAACATGGCTTTTACAGTCTGTCTGCTGACTGCTCCGAGGTGCTGTGCTGAAATGTGTGCGATGAAGGCCTGCTCTTGAAGCAATCATCTCTCATTCCTTTTATCTAAGAGGACTTGTAGCTGTATCTTTAAATTATAGTGGCTTGATAAAGAATGATTTTAAAGAATTTCCAGTCTTGGAATACTTGGAAATAAAGTGGTGAGGCGCTGTTCATCTGCTACTGAACAGTCGAGTCAGCATGTTTGAGGGGAGATATCTGTAGAAATGTGCTTAATTGCTGAAAGTCCTGGCCACAGTTTAAATTTTGATTTATATCTATATTTTACTAAGGGTTGTCTTGCACTCTCATGTCACTCTCCACAAACATTTGGCATTTTTGCCCCCCGGCGAGATGGCTGTAGGAAGGAAGCACTTGTCATTATGGATGAAATTTGTGTTTCTCATTTGTAGCTTGAAAAAAACCTCTAATGCTGAAGGTTTGACAAACTGGGTGTTATGCTGGTGAACTTGAGAAGCATCGAGCTGTGTTCTGTGTGTACAATATTTTGATTGTATGACAAGAGATGCTGTTTTCAAGCCTGGCCTCAGTGTTCGGCTTTGCAGTCTTGTAAAATAAATCTGAGCATATATATCTGTTTTTACTGTTACAAAACTTTCTATGATTGGGATGTTTATATTAAAACATACTTTGCATTAAAAAAAAAAGTTAACATGCAACTAAGATACTCAGTCTATTCAAAAAGCACAAAGCTTATAGAAACTTAGAGTTTTGAATACTTAGCTGGTTTTAGCTGAGACTAAACCCTGATTAATCACTGTTAGTGCAAAATGTTCCCTTTGCTGAGCACAGGGGTTAAATACAGTCACATGTTCATAGTGGGAAGTGGTAAATAATCCCTTGGTGTTTTAAAGGCAGCTTAGTTCATGAAAGTGAACCAATCTGCTGGTTGGCTCTCAGAACCATTTACCCTCCCCTTGGTTTGGGTGAGACAGAATGATTAGTCATCTGTGGGTGAAGGAAGACTGATTTCCATTTGGAAAAGCCTCATTGTTGCAAGGGGTAATGTGTCACTGGGACTGTTATTCTTAGGAATAAGAAAGAAATGCAGCGGGGTGTTGCTGAGGAAGTTTGACATTTCTGAGAGCTGTGCTTATGGAACCTGATTGGGAAGGAGGGAAATAACTGAAGGAAACCTCAGTGTAAACAGCATTTGGTCTCTGAAAGGACTCCAGCAAAAGGTAAACCCCCAAACTCCTTGGCAGCCTGAAAGTTTACTTTTTTAGAGTAATAGGGCTGGCAAGGATGAAGGAGATGATCAGGTCTGTTCCCCTGCCCCACTGCTCTGTCAGTGTTTGCCTGATTGCCTGAAAGGGCTGGAGGGCAGAGGACTTCACTGTGTGTTTTAGTGCTTCCCTGCCCTTACTGGCAGCAAGTCTCCTACCACATCTGTCTGTTTTGCTGCCCATTGCAGTGTCCCTAACGCCACAGAGAACAGGTTATTTTATTTTCCTTCCATGCAACAGCCTCTTACATACCTGAAGTCTGTTACTGTTCTTGTTTCAGTCCTTGCTCCTTCTCTGGTTAAAATTCTGAGTATTTCCTGAGAGACAATGTTTTCTAGAGCCCTTGCTGTGCTATTCCTGCAATTCCCTGCTCTGCTGTGCCCTCAAAAATGCTGGGTAGAGCCAGACTAGTTCACGTGGCTTGGATGCAGTACTGTGGTTTATGCCCCAGTATTGTGGGTTTTATTTTTTTTGTGCAAACTGCTTTGAAGAACAGCTTTGAAGCTGCTTCCCCCCATTTTTTATTTGTGTAATAGGCAAGAATTACATGCATGTAAAATTCTGCAACTTGCTCGACTGACTTGCATCCTCTGAGAGTATTTCTTTGGCTGCTGGTGATCAATTTGAGCCCTAATCTTGTCCAACCTATTTTCTGGTTGCAGTTACTAGGCCAAGACTTTTCAGAACTGGAGAAATTTTTCTCCAGCAGGCCACTGCTGGATCTCTGGGCTTTTTGTTCATCTTATAGTTGCTTCATGAGTCCAATTTTTTTGCAAGCTTATGAAAATTGGGGTGTGTATAGACTTTCTGAAGACAAGTCAGAAACTGTCATCCTAAATTGCCCTTATTTTAATGATGGGGTAATTTGAGTTTTCTGTTTTAACCTGAAAGTTCTCTGACCCTCTCAACTAAGCAGGGACCAGGGTGTGTGACTGCAGCCAGAGCTGGAGCAGAGAGAAGAGGGTTTTGATTGTTTGGTTTAATTACAGTTCAATGCCAGAACAAGTACAGAATTATATGTATTATTTCAGAAGTGAAGACAGGTACCCAGAATTTCTCTTTCCAGACACTCAGCCTGTCACCAGTTAACCTCTGCCTAACAACAATAAAAACCAAGTTGGCAGTTGTCTGTGAGATAACAGGAAGAACTGGGATGGCCAAAGGGAATGTCAGAGATCCTCCTCTTCTCCTGTGCAAAGTGACAAAATGACAGGCAATCAGGAAGATCATCTGCCTTTGGAATGTTGAGTCTGTTTTGAGAAAGGAGGGGGGGGGCAAAGGAAGGATTTGCTTTATCATGGAAAGTGTTTTTTGGCAATCCTAAAGTGGAATTTGGCCTGTTGTCAGTGACACTGCTCCAACCTCTCAAACTCAAATACAGCTGCTTGTATAACTAATGTGCTTGTAAATCCGTCTGTGCTTTTATTGTCTGGGATCCTAATTAGCCTCAGAAATTTTCTTCAGGGCTTTTATTACCAAAAAAATGTAGATAACTAAAGTGCCCTCACCTGCTGAGTGCCAGAAACCCAGTGCTTTGGGGTTTGTACTTGTTCCACTGGTTGCTCAAGTACAGGTAGCTCAGCCAAAGGCTGGTGCTGAGCAAAGTTTAACTCGAAGGAGGCCAAACTGAATATAATTTACAAATTAGTGTAGTATACACACAAGAGTATACAAAGAAAACATAGAAGACGTTTCATGAAATATTATGAGCTTGGTTTCTGCATGACACCTTTCTAAGAGGTGAAGAAGTGATAAAGGCAAGCTCAGAGAATGCCCTTTCTGTACCTTCCTAGTGTATTTTTTTTAAGTTTTTATTAGCTGGAGATGAGAGTGTGGAAATGGCATTGCTTTGGTGATGCTTTTTGCTGCCGTAATTGAAGTTTCTTTTTAAAATGGCATTTGAAAGAGCTCTGCATTGCTTATCCAAAGGGTTTAGGTTTCTTTAGCAAGAGCTATATAGGAATGTAACTTTCTAAAGGTAGGGATATGTATCTGCAAAATGTTCCTTTAAGCATTTGGCTGTGAAGGCCTAATCTGCCTCGGTCATATGGCCTGCACATATTTTTGTGAAGTAACTTCTAATGTTTCTTTCCATCAGGTGCATGCAATGTTTTTCTAAATGAGCAGTGACTCTGCCTTCAGTGCTGTGCAAACACATGGAGGTATTCCAAGCACCCCAGAGCCAAACCAGCATTCCTGGGGCACCCAGGGCAGCCCTTGGCTTCACTGGGAGCTTTGTGTGCGGAAATAATGCCCAATTGTGCTGGCACCTGTGCACTTTGGCACGGGAAACGTGCGTGGGTTTTGGCATGAAATCACAAAATATATATCCTGGCATAGAAAGAAAAAATTAGACTCTTTGTGGGCAAATGTAAACCAAGATTTAAAGGCACCAAGTGAAACACTGAGAGGCAAGAGCCGCACAGTGAACAGGGGGAGATGGGAAAACATACAGTGCAGGGTTTCCTTTTTTCCCCCCTTCCTGCTGGCAACCTTGGGAACCATGCTTATGACATTGTCCTTTACCTGGGCTTCTTTTCAGCCGTGAATTTGTGTCATCAAGCAGCATTTTCTAAAGTTAAAAAGTTACCAAAATAGATTACTTAATGGGACCCAAGTGCCTGGTGGTCATGACCGGGTCAAGAGCTGCACATCTTGAACCTGGTAGAATTTTCCATGATGAAGCAATCTCTTTTGTTTTGTCTTTTAACAACAATGTCAGTGGACGAGTTAAGTAGAAAAGCAGGCCTTAGTTGTTTCTTTGGGTTTTTTTTTTTAGTTGTTTTTTTTTTTTTTTTTGGCTGTAGCTGCTTTTTAATCTCTTCCATCCTTCTGGCAGCAGGTGGAGCCAGAAGCTCGGTTTTAAACTGAGAATTTACTGCTGGGTGCAGAGTTTTGAAGTTTGGGACTCCTGGGGACTTGGTTTTGGTCTTGGCTAATAGCAAAATGTGACACAAACTTCAGTCTCATCTCCAAGCACTATCTCCAAGTAACATGCACTGTGCGTTCTTGTGGCTAATCTTGTGTGAAAGGGGATTGTAAAAAGAATTCCTGTACCTCTAGCGTGGCAAATGCCCAGTAATTCTGACTGAGAGGGATGTAGGGAAAGCTTAGAGGGGGAAAAAAGAGGCTTTCCTTCTCACAGTACTGAAGTAGAGCAAAGGAGAAGGTGGAGGTTTGAGACAAAATTTTAAACATACCTTTAAACTTGGGAACTGCTTTCCCTAGGCCTCCCTGTGGTGCTTCAATCCTGAGTGCGAGGCTTAAACAGTTGGAGTTGCTGCATTTGTGCAGTAAAAAGAAGTGCTTTGCTGAACGTTCACTCAGCCCTCAGCAGGAGAAGCAGACCAGGAAAAAAGTGGTACTGGCACTATGAAACAATTAAAAATTACTCCTACTACCCTGGTGGGAAGCCCACAAAGCTTCTGTGTTGGGCATCACTTGGAACAGGTCTTGGGGGTCTTTGGAAGGTTATTTGGAGGGTCACTGAAAGCTTGAGAGCAGTAATTTTCATGGAATCATAGAATAGGTTGGAAAGTACCTCTAAGACCATCAAGTCCAACTGTCCTGCTTCATCTGTAAAACGCAGGGAGCAGGAGGGAGTTATCCAGGCCCCTTGCAGTCAGGTTGCTCAGGGGTCAAGGAAGAGCTGCTGTCTTGGGCCGCTGGTGAGAATGCTGCTTTGTTTTTAATTTCCAGTGGAAGTTACTGTGCTTTTATTTTCGTCCTTGGGGCAGCCTGTCCTCCTCCTGCAGCCCATGGTGCTGGATGTTAACGTGGCACAGATAAGAGGTGGCCATAACGAATCCTCTTTGGTTGCTGTTTCCCTCAACGCTCTCTGCCCCTCTGCTCCAGCTTGTTTGGAGAAATCTGAGCAGAGACTGTGCTGTCTGGAAAATCCCCAGGCTGTTATCGGCACTAGTCCAAACAAATATGGGTAGAAAGCAACTCCTACTCATTCCTGTAAAAAATTCCTATTAATCTGCCGTGATTTAGGCTGCACAGAAAGCCCCTCAAGAGTATTGACCCTTTGCACAATGCTCCAACCAAACAAAGGCCTGGACCTTGGATGAACTCCTGGCTCTTCCTTGGGGTCTGATGCATGGGAGACCTAATCCTCGAGCTAATACAGTCATTTGGAAGAGCTGTGAAATGAGAAAGGCGAGTAATTACCCTCTAAACACTCCGTTCCTGTCTGCCATAGGTATTTTCAGCAGAGTCTGAGGCTGTCCTGCCTCAGATGAGTTGTATCAGAGCCTAATTTTATGCAAGGAATAAAACCGTGGCTCAAATGGACTGTTCTGGTAGGAATGGCAGTGGTGTACATTCCATCTGGCTCTTGTTGGCAATAAAG